GACAGTCACTGTGCAAAAATGTCCCCTCACGAAGTAAAAATGTTCACTGCAACTAAACAGACGTTCATCTCCAGCCATCTGAGCCAACGCTTCTTCTATTTCATGATTCTGAACTTGCAATCTCAGGATGGAAGTAAAACTGTTACTTCCTGTATTTGTCTTCTGATAGAACTTATAGGATAAAGTGGCAGTTGGGGGGGGGGGGTTTAAAACCCCTGTTAGATTTTCATTGCCGTGCCCCCCCCCCCCCCCCCAGGAGGAGAGACTCATCCTCTCTATATGCCCCTTCAGGAAAATCCCAAATGTTCAAGGAGTTGTCACCATAACCAGAGTGGAACTCTTCCAGTGGGGACTCCTACACCAACAACGGCTGAGAGGAGTTCCCCCCCTCTCCTCTGACTTCCTGTTGTATCTGACTTATAGGAAGTGAAGGGACACAGACAGCAAAAAAAAAACAAAGCGGGGTCTCTGGCCTGTTCATTATACCCACAAAGCCCCCCCCCCCCCAGCACTGCATGGGTTAAATACTGGTGTAGATAGGAAGGAATTAATTAAAATGCTTAACCTACTCTTTGCTCCTGCAGGCTTCCTCCTCTTCATGCGACCGCTTCCCCAAAAGCTGCCAAGCTGGTCGCAGCTCTCTGACGTCATCAGGATGGATGGTTGGGGCCGGTCTACATCCTGGAAGCATAGGGCTCATCCACACAAGTGGCATGGGGGAGGGGGCAGTAAACCTCTGACGTCATCAGGTTGGAAGGTCGGGGCCTGTCTACATCCTAGAAGCATTGGGGCTCATCCACACAAGTGGCGGGGGGGGGGCAGTAAACCTCTGACGTCATCAGGATGGATGGTCGGGGCCTGTACACATCCTGGAAGCATTGGGGCTCATCCACACAAGTGGCGGGGGGTCAGTATATCTCTGACGTCATCAGGATGGATGGTCGGAGCCTGTCTACATCCTGGAAGCATTGGGGCTCATCCACACAAGTGGCGGGGGGTCAGTATATCTCTGACGTCATCAGGATGGATGGTCGGGGCCTGTCTACATCTTGGAAGCATTGGGGCTCATCCACACAAGTGGCGGGGGGTCAGTATATCTCTGACGTCATCAGGATGGATGGTCGGAGCCTGTCTACATCCTGGAAGCATTGGGGCTCATCCACACAAGTGGCGTGGGGGAGGGGGCAGTAAATCTCTGACGTCATAAGGATGGATGGTCGGGGCCTGTCTACATCTTGGAAGCATTGGGGCTCATCCATATGAGCAAGGTGGGGGGTGGGGGGGGGGGGGGCAGGGGCACACAGCACAAATATGTCGTTTACGGCAGGCAGTGCCGCCGCTGAAAGTAACTATTGCGCTTCGATGGGGCCTCCCAGGAACCACGTGCAAAGCATGGATCTGCAGTGCAGTAGTGCAGCAATTGTCAAGTCATATTAGGCGGTGAGGAGGGAACATATGGCCTACTCACGGCCTCTCGAACACCTCTGAAATGAGATCAGAGAGTGGATCGCTTTTCAGGGGAGCAGCAGTCATAGCCGCACACATGAATGAGCCCTAACTGCCAGACAAGTGAGGAATCGGGTATTTGTACTGATCCCCCACCCAAGCCAAATGAGGTGGGGGGGGGGGGGGGGTACCTGCCAGACCAAGGCTTTGGGTAACACCTTATCCCTGCCCCCCCCAAAACTAAAAAAAGCTAAAAAGCTTTAAACCCATGGAGTGGTGCATGGAACTCTGGAAAAACCTAGCCTGGTGGGGGAGGGGGGTTCTGCCCTGTTGTACTGCAAAGGTTAACCACTTGTTTAGTCCAGGGGGGAGGGATATGGTGATTTACTTACCCGCCCCTCAGTCCAGCAGGCTGCTGATCAGTTCCATTAAAAAAAAAGAAACTCCAATCTGCGGGAGGCTTTTGGTGGCCATCACATACAATGCAGGACTAGTAACCCTTCACTGTACATGGAGGAGGTGAGCTTGTGACCGCAGCCGAGAGCACCTCAGAAAGGTGTATGGGTCACATGGCTGGAGGAAGTCTGCCACAGGCAGGAATACACAAGTCTTGCATGTTATGTCAGCACCGCCTAGACCAGGGGTCTCCAAACTTTCAAAACAAAGGGCCAGTTTACTGCCCTTCAAATACTAGGGGGGGCCGGACTGTGGCCAGCGGGAGTAGAAAATTCCTTGGCATTGGTGGGAGTAAACAATGCCATAGGCTTGGTGGTCTATGGGAGTAAAAAATATGACATCATTGGTTCCATAGTGGAAGGAGCAGTGCCCCCGTCACTGGTGTCGCAGTGGGAGGAGCGGTGCCCCCGCCACTGGTGTCGCAGTGGGAGGAGCGGTGCCCCCCGCCACTGGTGTCGCAGTGGGAGGAGCGGTGCCCCCGCCACTGGTGTCGCAGTGGGAGGAGCGGTGCCCCCGTCACTGGTGTCGCAGTGGGAGGAGCGGTGCCCCCGCCACTGGTGTCGCAGTGGGAGGAGCGGTGCCCCCGCCACTGGTGTCGCAGTGGGGGGAGCGGTGCCCCCGTCACTGGTGTCCAAGAGGGGAGCGGTGCCCCCGTCACTGGTGTCCAAGAGGGGAGCGGTGCCCCCGTCACTGGTGTCCAAGAGGGGAGCGGTGCCCCCGTCACTGGTGTCAGTGAGAGGAATGGTGCCCTCATCACTGGTGTCAGTGGAATGGCTAGTGCCTTCTATCAGTGGAAGGAAAAGTGCCCCAAGGGCCAGAAAAAGGCAAGGAGAGGGCCACATCTGGCCTGCAGTTTGGAGACCCCCGCCCTAGACTAAGCAAGCAATTAACTCTTGCATTGCAGGTAGGACATTGCAAGGGTAGATTCTGTGTTATTCAGCTGCAGTCAGGGGAGGGGCTTCAACCATTCCACACTACATCCAAAACAAAGCAAAAAAAAAAAAAGGCAGCCTTGCCTATATATAATTTAATATGCATGCTTGGGGGGGGGGGGGGGGGGGGGGGGGGGGATCAGAAAGTTGGAAGGCTTCAACTTATCTGTAGTCCTCATGACGGCCATGTATACAACCCCCCCCTCACAACAGCAGCAATGTAGACAGGTCCCCCCCTCTCCCCATTATCCTGGCTCTAGCAGACATCACTAGTGGAAGTGTTTCCTAATCCCCACCATGTCAGGGAACACTGCTATTTATTAAAGGTCCCCCCCCCCCACTCGGCTGTGCTGCACAATGCAGGCCCAGCTTCCCTTGTGCTCACTGCCATGTGACATGGAAGTCACGTGACAAAGTGAAGAGAAAGTTAGATCCCACTTCCTGGCTGTGCAGCAGGCCTCCTATCTGAGAAGGTCTTAAAGAGGGACGCAGTCATGAGGGTTCATTTTTATCATGTCTCTACGTTAAAAAAAAAAAAAAAGGATGCTTCCTTAGAAGGGTCAAGAGGCCTGTAGAAGATGTAGTCACCCAAATCTTTCCTGGACTGCCATTGCCGACCTCTCGTTCTTCATAGATTAGTTGCCTGACTGTCATGCTAACACTCTGGCTTCAAGGCTTTGAGTTTGTAGACCTCAATTGGTTGAGGTTCCGACTCTCCATACCTTTTCCAGGTCCTTGGCCAAGAAAGTACTGAAACCAGTGGGCCAGCATAGTAGCCAGACAACAAAAATGTCGTTGTCACTATGCAAGGAGGTACGTGTCACCATCTTGGAGGTCAACATCGCCATCCACGGTGGTCAGTGTCTCCTTAAAAGGAAATCAGCATCCTTATCCATGGAAGTCAACACCACCATCCTTGGAGGTCAATGTCACCATCCATGGAGATCAGCGTCCCCTTCAGTGGAGGGGACCATAGCCATCTATAGTGGTCAATGTCCCCTTCAATGGAGATCAGTGTCACCATTCATGGATGTCAACACCATCCATGGAGGGCAACACCACCATCCATTGTGGTCAGTGTCCCCTTCGATGGAGGTCAGCATTGTCATCTATGGAGGTCAACACAACCCTCCATTGTGGTCAGTATCCCCTTCAATGGAGGTCAGAACCACCGTCTATGGAGGTAAACTTCATTATCCATGGACATCAGTGTGTCTTTCAATGCAGGTCAGAACCACCATCTAATGGTGGTCATTGTCCCCTTTAATGGTGGTCAATGTCCCCGCCTATGATCCTCTAAGGAAAGGTTGACTATAAGCAAAGTCTACTAAAATTTGGATTTCGGGTGCAGATGGAATAAGTGTCTTCTTAATGTGGACCAGCCAATCATGCTGAATAAACCAATTTACACAAGGCAGCAGCAAACATGACTTCTTGGACCTGCATTGGCTAAAGAAGTTCACCCCAAGATGAAGGACTCCTATGATGCACAGATCAACATTTTCCAAAAGCCAAGGACCTTCTGAGGCCTGCTCCTGCCTAGTGATGCTCATTTTATAGCATTCTGGCAACAGGTCCACTTTAAAGCTCTGAAGGATTAGAGTTTGAGATTTCACTACAACTCAAACCTTCGAGTCTCATTTCTCTTGTACCATAAAGTAGTGGCCGGAGTAAAACCTCCCCTTGAACCCAGTGGTTCACAAACTCAGTCCTCAAATATCCCCCATACACCATGTTTTAGGAATTTCCCTTAGATAAAAAAAAAGCCCTCATAGATACCAAGCCATTAATCAAGGGAGGGAAATCCTGAAAACACGACCTGTTGGAGATATTTGAGGACTGAGGTTGGGAACCACTGCTGTACCCCATGACCTGTTGGAGATATTTGAGGACTGAGGTTGGGAACCACTGCTGTACCCAGTGGATGATTGAACTTGCCACTTTCCACCTAACCCCCATTTTGGTTGACCACTGGACTTAGTCATGGGACCATATTGAAAAGTTCCCACCCTCCCCCACACCCCATCTCACCTTGACGAACGCCACGTTGTGTGGGAAGACGTAGCTCTCCTCTTTGCTTTCCTTTCCAGCCTCCCCTGGAACAACCGGAGCTGCAATGGGGCCCCGCATGGCAGCCAGTGCAACCGGGAAGCCGCCACCGCTGCCGCCTTTCGTGTACTCTGAGAGATAATGTCTGATGTTTTGCCGGGCGGCTCGTATCAACGAGCCATCAATGTCCAGCCCCACTATGAGCGAGGGCCCCAGGCTCTGCGCTACGTTCAGGGTCAGGTGGCCAACATTGCAGCCAATGTCCAACACTGCCTTGCCCTGAAACCACTCGGGCCTCAGCACCCGCAGACGAGGATCGTCCGACCGGCAAGGGTTTCGATATCCATAGTATCGGCAATAATTCCCGAACTGGAAGCGGCTCTTCTCTTTACCCTGGGGCCCTGAACATGGTGGTTTGAAGGCCACCGCCGTACTGCTTTGGTGTTTGGCGGTGGTGACCACGCTGGCCAATGTCTTGCCTTTCTCTGGGCTCCCTTGCCTCCCTTCCGACTTGCTAGAGGTCCTCCTCCTCTTTCGGTGCCGGGAGCCCGACGTACACGTGCCGCTGGCAGTGGCAGCTGGCCCATCAAGTCCTTCATTATCCAAGGAGGGTAAAGAGACGATGTCATCACGGCAATTAATGGCAGTGTTGAGTTCATATGGCCGTAACTCCTCAGGTGTGGGCTCGACCTCCTGGCCCAGCCCAATGGGCCCCTTGGGGGGCACATCGGTTGACGGGTGGTGCCGATGGCGGTGCCTTTTTCTGCCACTCTTGAGCGGGGAGAGGAGGAGCTCCACATCGCTAGCACCGGTGTTAAGGCTCAGTGGGTCGGTGATGTCCTTCGGGATTAGGATCTCTACGGGGTCCCGGCTGCGGGGAGGGAGCGGCGAGGACTTGGGGGTCTCGGCGTTGAGCGTCCGGCTGACCTCCTCATCCAGCAGGCTGTTGAGGTTGAGCGGGTCGAAGATGTTGCCCCCGAGGAGGAAGTTGGACGGCAGGACGGGGTCGCAGTCTGAGTTGACCCGCCTCCGCCGCTTGAACGCCACTGGGTGCTTGAAGCCCACGTTAAAACTGTTCCTCCTCTTCCCCTGGAAGCCATTCCTGGGCACGCGGGGAGCCTGCGGCTGCTCCTCCTTGATGGATTTGGCGTCCTGCGGCGGGGGAGGGGCAGGGGGCGGAGCCATGAAAGTCTTTTCACCATCACTGGCGGGCTGCGGCTGCTGTAGGGTCTCTGGGGAAGAAGCCATCTCTACAAGGACCTGCATGGGGGCGTCAATGGAAGGGATGGGGCAAATCGTGGCTACGTATCCCACATCCTGGGCCCCCTGGACCTTCCAGAGCCCAACCCCTGAGCTGCTGGGTTTCAAAGAGGTGGAGTTTTCACAAGCCACTCCCACTGCTTTAAGGGCACTTCTTTACAAGCCTCTCCCACTCCTTGAAGGTCACTCCCACTCGAAAGGCCACTCCCTCTTCTTAAAGGCCACTTCCTTTCTTCAAAGGAGCTGTCAGTCACTCTGTGGGCGGAACCTGTGAAGAGAAAATATGAATTATTCATGAGGTAGGTGGTTAAATAAGTTTCACTCCCGCCCCTCCCCCGTAGCTGACAGAAATGGCGGGGTGAGCCGACAGTTATCCCGCCGGCTCCGCCCACCACACTCCGGGAAACCAATAGGCGCTCTACCTTCCCTCGCAAGCTTAGCGCATGCGCGCCGTCGACCACGCCCACTTCCACAACTACCTCCAGCTCAGCGGAGAGCGAGCGAGCCTGTGTGCGGCTTCACGTCGCGCGCGCCTTTATATAGACGTCCTGTGCCCCGCCCTATACACCACCCCCTCACCCGCCTCCACGCCCCCTAGCTTGCCAAACTCCCGTCACGTGGTACCGATGGACGGGCATAGAAGGCCAATCAGAAGGAGGGCGAGAGCAGAGCCGCCCCCTGTCGCTCCTCCAATCACAGATGTAAACATGGATATAGGCGGCCTAGGGATCGCCTGAGAACAAAGAGAAGGTGACGGCGACCGAGGGAAAGGGAAACCTCTATTCCTGCTGTAGAGGAGGCGCACTGACACTTACTTATGAGAGGGATTGGACGTCCGCGGACAAAATCACCTCAAACCGGGGAGAAGTCCCGAGACAGGCAGTCAAGACACCTACTACGAGGGCGGGGGGCCTGCGGGGGCCGCGAGGCATGCCGGGAGATGTAGTCATAGGCCCCGCCCTCCGTGTGGACGTTCTGGTGGCGTCGCTGAGTTCTGTGTAAAATGGCGGCGGGAGAGCCCGGGACCCCCGGAGACCCCCGAAGGGCTGTGTGTGGGGGAGGGGGCCGGGGACACCCCGGGGGAGAGATCGGAGCTGTCCTCATACCAGGGAGGCCGAGAGACTACCGACCGCTCTGTGTACAGTACTTACCGCTCACACCCGGACTGGTCACCCGGCCGGATCCTCACTACAGCGCCCAGGACTGGGCACCGACCGCCCTGTACAGTGCAATACCGAGATATATATATATATATATACACCCTGTACAGTGCAATACAATGCGGTCCTATATACAGTACTGTGCAATATATTCACCTCACTGACCGCCCTGTACAGTGCAATACAATGTGGTCCTATATACAGTACGTGCAATACATACACCTCACCGACAACCCTGTACAGTGCAATACAATGCGGTCCTATATACAGTACTGTGCAATACATTCACCGACCGCCCTGTACAGTGCAATACCGAGACAGAATACAGACGTCCTATACAGTGCAATACTGAGACATATATATATACACCCTGTACAGTGCAATACAATGCAGTCCTATATACAGTACTGTGCAATACAGACACCTCACTGACCGCCCTGTACAGTGCAATACAATGCAGTCCTATATACAGTACTGTGCAATACATACACCTCACTGACTGCCCTGAACAGTGCAATACAATGCGGTCCTATATACAGTACTGTGCAATACATTCACCTCACTGACCACCCTGTACAGCGCAATACAATGCGGTCCTATATACAGTACTGTGCAATACACACACCTCACTGACCGCCCTGTACAGTGCAATACAATGCGGTCCTATATACAGTACTGTGCAATACACACACCTCACCGACTGCCCTGTACAGTGCAATACAATGCGGTCCTATATACAGTACTGTGCAATACACACACCTAACCGACCGCCCTGTACAGTGCAATATAATGCGGTCCTATATACAGTACTGTGCAATACATTCACCGACCGCCCTGTACAGTGCAATACTGAGACATATATATATACACCCTGTACAGTGCAATACAATGCAGTCCTATATACAGTACTGTGCAATACATACACTTCACCGACCGCCCTGTACAGCGCAATACAATGTGGTCCTATATACAGTACTGTGCAATACACACACTTCACCGACCGCCCTGTACAGTGCAATACCGAGACATATATACCACCCTGTACAGTGCAATACAATACGATCCTATGTACTGTGCAATAGATATATACACCTCACCGATCGCCCTGTACAGTGCAATACAATATGGTCCTACTATACATAACTGTGCAATAGATTTACACACCTCACTGGCTGCCCTGTACAGTGCAATACCAAGACAGACATATATATCACCCTGTACAGTGCAATACAGTACTGTGCAATACATACACCTCACCGACAGCCCTGTACAGTGCAATACCGAGACATATATATGCACACCACCCTGTACAGTGCAATACAATATGGTCCTATATACAGTACTGTGGAATATATATACACACCTCACCAACCGCCCTGTACAGTGCAATACCGAGACATAGAATTCAGACATCCTATACAGTGCAATACCGAGACATATATACCTTCCTGTACAGTGCAATACAATACAGTCCTATATACAGTACTGTGCAATATATATACACAACTCACCGACTGCCCTGTACAGTGCAATACAATACGGTCCTATATACAGTACTGTTTAATATATATATGCACACCTCACTGACTGCCCTGTATAGTGCAATACTATACCGTCCTATATACAGTACTGTGCAATATATACACACACCTCATCGACAACCCTGTATAGTGCAATACTATACCGTCCTATATATAGTACTGTGCAATATATACACACACCTCATCGACAACCCTGTATAGTGCAATACTATACCGTCCTATATACAGTACTGTGCAATATATACACACACCTCATCGACAACCCTGTATAGTGCAATACTATACCGTCCTATATATAGTACTGTGCAATATATACACACACCTCACCGACCGCCCTGTATAGTGCAATACTATATCATCCTATATCTTAGATTGTAAGCTCCCAGGATCAGGGCCCTCCTATCCCTCTTGTATTGATCTGTATTGTCTCCCTTTATATTGTAAAGCGCTGAGCAAACTGTTGGCACCATAAAGATCCTGTATAATAATAATATACAGTACTGTGCAATATATATACACACACCTCACCGACCACCCTGTACTGTGCAATACTATACCGTCCTATATACAGTACTGTGCAATATATATATACACACACTCTCACCGACCACCCTGTACTGTGCAATACTATACCGTCCTATATACAGTACTGTGCAATATATATATACACACACCTCACCGACCACCCTGTACTGTGCAATACTATACCGTCCTATATACAGTACTGTGCAATATATATATATACACACACCTCACCAACCACCCTGTACAGTGCAATACTGTAACAACCTATACACAGTACTGTGCAATATATATATATATATATTCACCTCACTGACCACCCTGTACAGTGCAATACCAAACCATAGAATACATGCTATATATACATTCTGTATAGTGCAATACTGCATTCTATATACACCCTACCAACCACCCTGTACAGTGCAATACCAAACCATGTATACATCCTGTACAGTGCAATACTATACCGTCCTATATACAGTACTGTGCAATATATATATATATATACACCACTGACCACCCTGTACAGTGCAATACCGAGACAATACAGACATCCTATATAGCGCAATCCCAAACCATATATATTACTCTGTAGAGTGCAATACTACACGGTCCTATATACAGTACTGTGCTATATACATATATATATATATATATATATATATACGTGTGTACACCTCACCAACCACCCTGTACAGTGCAATACTATACCATCCTATATACAGTACTGTGCAATATATTTATATAGACACTTCACTGACCACCCTGTACAGTGCAATACCAAGCCATATAATACATCCATGCTATATAGTGCAATACCAAACCATATATACCATCCTGCATGCTTCCTGTACAGTGCAATACTATACTGTCCTATATGCTGTGCAAATATATATACACCCCATATGAGTCCCTGACATCCTATAACCTACCATCCTGTGCAGTGCAATACCGAACCATAGAATACATCCATCCTCTATATACATCCTGTACAGTGCAATACTGCATTCTATATGCACCCCACTGATCATCCTGTACAGTGCAATACTATGCCATCCTATATAAAGTGCTGTGCAATATATATACACCCCACTGACCACCCTGTACAGTGCAATACCAAACCATATATACCATCATGCACAGTGCAATACTATACTGTCCTATATACTGTACTGTGCAATATATATATATATATATATATACACACACCATATGAGTCCCTGACACCCTATAACCTACCATCCTGTGCAGTGCAATACCAAACCACAGAATACATCCTCTATATACATCCTGTACAGTGCAATACTGAACCATAGAATAATATATATATCTCATATAGTGCAATACCAAACCATATATACCATCCTGCATACTTCCTGTACAGTGCAATACTATACTGTCCTAATATATATACACCTGTACAGTGCAATACTGATATACATCATATAGTATAACACCCTGTACATACTATAGGTCTTCTATACGTCCTGTGCAGTGCAATACTATACATCATAAATACACTTTGTGCAGTGCAATACAATACATCGTAAATACACTTTGTGCAGTGCAATACAATACATCCTAAATACACTTTGTGCAGTGCAATACAATACATCCTAAATACACTTTGTGCAGTGCAATGCTATACATCCTAAATACACTTTGTGCAGTGCAATACTATACGTCCTAAATACACTTTGTG